GGGTTTGCATGTAGACCGACAAGATTCTACGTAAGTCGATAAGAAAGAAAAAAGCAGAAAAAAAACATGCCAGCAGCCCTAGATAAACCCTTCCCCCATTCCGATCCCAGTTTGTACGTGTCCAGTTAACTCCATTTTCAACGCTGCACCCTCATCCGCATAGCTGATTGCCGGATGAGAATTCTACGACCTTATAAAAGATAAATTTCATGCTTTCTACTCCTTGCAGCTTTTCGAATACTGTAGGGGGGGGGGGGGGCGGGGGGGGGAGGCAAAGGCCCTTGACGGCGAGTCCGGAGCCGGCGGGGGTTCAACTCGGACCTGGAGAAAAGGAGGCGTCACTGGAACCTATATTGCGCTATGGCGCATCTCCCTCACAATTTTCGCCACGGAAACCGATACCAGATTGTTTGTCGCGGACCACACTACCCTCTCGATGCCATATTTCAACTTCTGTACCTAATCGCGGACCGTACCTTCAAAGGCGGTGGACACGACGGCTGGGGACAGGCGGTTGCTGCCAACTTCACTGGTGTAAAGGCTGACCAAGCAGTCACCAAACGCCTCTTTGCAGCCTTTCCGATAATGACGTTGGCAGCAACTGCCTGCCCCAGGTATAGGCCTATTGCCTTTGAGTTTTGACCCGGCGAAACAAGTCCCATCCCTTAAGATCGAGATTCAGCTAAATATCTGCTCGAAGATACTCCGAAGAGCAACTCTGACGTGGTTATGGATTTGATCTGACTATAAAAGTACCACTGCAAAAGTTCAAGATTTCTTGGTTCACCACGATTTCGCATGGAGATTGGAGGCGTGGCGCGTCTGAGATTAAACGCTCATTGCTGAACATGGTACTGCGATGCAACCAAAGAACCCACAAGCTGAATCACGCATAGGTTGAGCCAACCACATGGAAACAAAGATTAGAGAAAGATCTTGCGATATTGGCCATAAAGTGTTCCTTTGTTGGTGTGCTCCTTCTAAGAAGGGACACGCCACTGAGTCAGTTCTCTCCCCGCTTATACGATCTTAGAGAACGTTCAAACTTTGCGATGACGAGGGTCGACGCGCCAAAATTGTAACAGCGCTCCAACCTTATAGACGCGAACGCTGCAGTTGACGGTTATCGATCGACGCCGGCCGCTTGTGAACTGAGACAGTATGTGGAAAGTAGGGTACGCGTTGCAGCTTGATATCGATCGGCACTAGCCGCTAGGGCTTTAGGAGAGTATGGGAGATTGGGAGAGTACCAGATTGTACCAAGGCAGCGCTTGCTTCCTGTTATCCTGTACTCTCTGTGACGACGCGCGGAATGTGATTCCGTGATCTAGCGCACGCTTCAGAAAAAAAAGAGTGGGCGTGGCTCTACGGAACGCGCGGTCGCGTAAACTTGTTGGAAGAGCGCGTGCGGCATTAAGCTGAAATAATTCCCAATGGAAAGATGAACGCACGGTAGTGTTCCATGAGATCGCATATCCGGAAAGATACATAAGGCCCATATTCAGGAAAAGACTGCTTTGAATGCGTCGGGGGAAGTAC